CGGGCAATGATGACATGCGAGCACAGCCCATTGACGGGTCACCCAGTCCAGCACCCAGGCCATGGCGGGCATCACGAGATTTCGACAATGCCAGGCTGAGATCACTACTTGAGCACGACCATCTGGATACCAAGGGCGCCAACAGGCAAATAAAAGCAACCGAGCAGGCAAAGAAGAACAAAGTACCCGCCGCCAACCCTCCCAAGGGCCCCAACTCAACGAATACCGAGACAAATGGTGGTGGGATCTCTCTCCCTGATCTAGTTCCTGGTATCGAAGACATTCCTTTACCCTCGGTAGAACCTGCCGAGAACGTGCGCGCTCCTGCTTCTCCAGAGAAGAGTTTCGCTTGGCAAGTCGATGAAGATTTTACAGCAGGCGATCTCCAGGTCTCAGACAGTCCCAGACTTAAGACGGACAGGCGACCCTTTGAGAACCGGCTACCGTTTGACGAGAACAGCTTGGTCGACATCAATTCCCGGACAAGGGTCAACAACCCAGGGTCCAAGAACACCAGGCTTGACGAAATCCGATCTCGAGAAGTCAAGACGGGAAACCACCTCCCTATAGGCCCACGCTCAACCAAGTCAACAAACACTAAGATTGATGAAATCAAAGCACGGGAAGCCGAGGTCGAGTCTCAGATACCAATCCCAGACAGGCGCCTCTCTTCGGCAAGCAAAAATACCAAGCTGGATGAGATTCGACAGAGAGAGCTGGATGGTTTGTCAAAGAGACGGCTAGCGGCTGCCCGCTTGGAGGAGATTAGGGAGAAGAACTCCATGTCGCGACAGAAATCGTCAGAGGAGACGCGGTCACAATCAGACCAGCAAAGTGATGGTCCATCAAGCAATGACGGGTCCGAGACCAAGCCCGACGCCTCGGAGAAGAGACGAGCCCGGACAACAAAGGATGCTCCACCCAAAGATACCTATGGTGGTGGGGAGCGAATTCCTGACACTCCAGTGACTGTATACAAGTCCCGACCTGAACGGGCGGGAGATCAGGCTCAGAACAAAGGAGACCAACCAAATCAGCAAAACGATACTAAGAAAGCTACTAAGACCACGCCTCTAACCCGACGTCGAGCCGATTCAAAAGACTTGCTGAGCAGGCTGGCAAGGGCTACAAGTTCTAGTCCACTCCTTAACACGGAAACGAAGAAGGCGCCCTCGCACCGGACAAGTGATAAACTCTCTACGTCGACAGGGTCGCTTATTACTGGTCGGAGTTCTAGAACCCTCCTGGGTGCTGTTGCTGGGCGTAGGAAGAAGGCCAGCACTGATGGGGAGTCCAAGCCCTCGGGGAGACCTACGGTAGAGTTCGCAGGCCTGCGGCGTGTGCGTTCGACTGAATCGTCTGGAAGTAAGAGATTCAGTACGCATTCAGAAACAGATCCTACAGATCGCATTGAAGCAGAGATGAAATTGTTCGCACCTCACGATACTCACTCCGAGAGAGGGTCGGTACGGGCTCCATCTCCGGCCTCCTCAGACGGCCACATCCTTAAGAAAGAAGTGGTCGGGGATGAAGAGATGACGCCTCAGAAGAACAACGTCGATCCTTTGACGATGCCAACGCCAAGAGTCACGGGTGCATATGTTGAGACTCCTGCAACAGTGAAGGTAGAAAAAATTCAAGATCCAATCCCGCCCCAGGAGGTAGCTCTGCCTCAAGCTGATGGCGAGCAAGCAAAGGAAGCTGGAAGAATAGGGCGTGCATCGGGTACCCACACTGCAGGCATTAGGAGGCGAGCCCGTGACACGTGTTCGGACCCTGGGGTCGGTGAGAAGGAAGCAAGAACCAGAACACGCTCGGCGTCCATGCCACAGAAACGGGCACGTTCACATTCGCGGCTCAGGGCGCCATTAAAGAACTCTGCCCAACCACCAACAGTGCACGACGATATCTTGGAACTGCTGCGTACAAACAAATTTGATGACTCGACCTTTGATGAGCTAGAAGCTATCCTCGACAATCGCCCTTTGCCTCCCGGGCGAATGAGCTTGGGAAACGATCTACCTCCACCTACAGACTCGCAAGATGAAGATTCATTTGACCTCAAAATGGAAGCCTATCTCGCGGAGATTGAACAGAAAGGTCCTACAGAAGACTTGAAGAACGAGGAGGTAGATGAGGATGTAGATGAAGGAGAACTGGCAGCATATGACCGCATGAGCAAGTCGCTCCAGACAGGGCTTCAAGGCATCCGCACTGCCAAGAAGGGCATCGAGCGACTCGAGGACAGTCTCAGGGATGGCGAACGTTTCTACGCCGAGTCCCAAGCAAAGCTCGCAGCGGTGGGAGATGCTGAGAAGCACCGCCCCAAACACCAAGAACGAGACCACCCCCAAAAACAGGACCGCCATCAAGAACGGGATCACCACCAAGAAGTATATGACAAACATGCTGATTCATCGAGCGTTGCCTACGTTCAGCTCCCTATTCCACGTCTGTATACTGTCAAACCTCGTTTCCAGTTAACAATACTGGGTCTCTTCGCCATGCTTTTGTCACTCTGGTACGTTGCCGAAGCTGGCATGTGCGCCAAGTACTGTATTCCAGACTCCTGTTCAACGACACCCTGTGTCTGGTCCTATGACGATCCAACGTTTGGCAAGGCTCTGCCAATCAAACTAGATCAATGGACCACTGGCGGCGTCGGGCGTGTGGCTTTCGGTAATGCACGGCAAACGGTTGAGGACTGGCTGGCCGACATGGCCGACAGCTTTTACGGGCGAAATATCAAAGACATCGACGTCAGCAAGCTATCTTTTGAAGGGAGGCGTGCCCACCGCCGTCGTCTGCGGAACAAGGGGCTGCTGAATGATGAGGCTAAGCAAGTGGAAAAGGCCGCAACGCCGGAAATACGCGAAAGATGGGCCGCATGGAGGCGTGAGCGGATCAGCAGGGAGAACGCGCGGGAAGCCAGGTCCATGGGCTACGATCAAGATGAGGACGATTCCATGGGAGGGGATCAGAGAATTGGCTAGTCAGCAAGCAATGATCCCCCTTGATACCAGGGCACAGATGTCCGTAATGCCACTAATGACCACTGACTTGCCCACGAAACATCTACTTATGACCGGCGTTGGAGCAAATTTTGGGATGAAGCATCTATTTCGTGTATATATTCAAAAAAAAAAAAAAAAAGATAGTGAGACGTGAAACCATGCTATAGGTATGGTATTCTATATATATTGAGATGTTGCCCCTACTCCATTAGGAGATACTGCCCCTTTCCTGGGGAGCAGCCATCAGCAATAGACCGTGAACGAATAGTCCAAACTTTCAGGGTCCTCGTGATCATAACGAATCCCACTCCAACAAACCCGTCAAATGCAACCCGGAACTTCAAAACGGAATGTGAATATGAACATAATTTTTCCAGCCCTGGATTGTCCTGCAGAATAACGCCGAGCTCCCGTGCCGCCATCTTTTACTCCTCAATTCCTCCCCATTCGTCGTCGTCGTCGCCGTCTGCCTCCTCTGCATCGCTCATATCCTCATCCTTGGTACCCCAAGGCAGCCTCGCATCCTGATAGCTCTCCTTCGCTCTTTCCCGAACAGCCTTGACCGGGCACGTCTGGAGCTCTAGGATTAAGTCCCCAATCTTCTTCACAAGACCCTTGGCCTCCTCGTTTTCGAGGCACTTTGTGCTCTCCAGCTCGTCAACCCACAGATCAAGGACGTGGAGCCTCAAGCCCAGAGGCACCTTCCTCAGGTCCCCCGTCCCCTCAAATGGCCACTCCGCCAGCACGTCGTCCACGACAGCGGGGCTCTTCTGCGCGCACTCGATCATCACGGCGAAGGCCCGGCGCACGAGGAGCAGGAACTTGTCCATGCGCAGGGCCTCGGTGTGCGGCCACCGCTCGGACAGGACCTGCCAGAAGCCGACGAACCAGGCGCTCTTGGCCTCCTCGCGGGGGAGGGAGTATACGAGGCGGGCCAGGTCGGCGGCGAGTCGCTGCTGGGGCGCGGGGCGGTCGGTCATCCAGAGGGCGTAGTAGAGGCCTTTCCATAGCTTGACGGCGTCCTGGGTGTCGAGGGAGGTGCGGGAGGAGAGGAAGAGCTTGAGGGAGTCAAGAGAGGCGGTTCGGAGTTTTCGATCTAATGTCAGAAGCCTGGGTGTCAGCAAGCGATAATCAAGAGGCGCATAGAGATTCGGAACAGAAAAGACAATCTTGATCGGCAGAGTGTTCGTCTTTGGGGGCGACTAACCACTGGAAGCCAAGTTCCGAATGAATGGCATTTGCGCCTCGTGTGCGGCGGCCATTTTGAAAGGACTGGGATTGCGGATTGCGGAGGAGGATACAAGGCAGATCACAGATTTCTGCAATGATGGAATTGAGTGCGCAGGAATGACGGCCAGGCCAAGAGCACTCAGGTCAGTCGTTGAGGCTCTGGAACTGCTCGCAGTTTTTTTTGAGCAGAAATATATTTATTCTGCCGCAAAACGAAGATACAAATTGGGTGGGGTGAGGAATGGATCCAGGATAGGTAAGCGGTGTAGGTGCGCCTCAGTTTCAATGGAGGCAGGAGCCACCAAAAGACATGGCAACAGCAGTACATACATGTGCTCAGCCGAGCAAGACCTGAGTCATTGGCTAGTCATTGGCTCGTAGATCAAACAAGCTGAGATCGTGTGATAAGCCTGTGACAGCTTTGCCTACCTACCAACACTTCCAGAGAGCTTGTCGCCGTGATAGAGTTTTCCAGAGCTGCACAAAGCTGACTCACTGCCGATGTTGGCCGACTAAGCTGATGATTGGAGGGCACTACGACCCTTGTGCCTAGCAGGTCGCAACAACACCCCACCATCGTCATAGCAAGAGCTCTTCTCCCACCCACTTCCACCACACCACTGTCTACACCTCTTTACCTAAGCGCCCATCTTGCCCGTCCCGCCTTGCTACTTTGCCATCAATCAAGTCCATACCCGTCTCTCTGAGAGAGACCACCATACCAGGCAAAACCGCAGCGCAGTGAGAGCCGCCGCCATGTCTACCAAGCGCATTTCCAAGGTTCGTCGCCCAAGTGCACGCATGTAATCCATCCCACCACCCACCACCCGCGTGCAATCACCCAGCGAGGGGGCCTTGCTAACTTCGTTCCTGTCTCTGATCAAAAACAGGAGTACGCCGAGCTCTCCCAGGCCCCTCCAGAGGGCTACACCGTCGCCCTTCCTCCCTCCGAGTCGCTACACACCTGGCACATCACCCTCCGCCCACCGCCCGCTACCCCCTTCCACCCAGGCGTCTTCGGCATCCTCATGACCCTGCCGACCGACTACCCCTTCAAGCCCCCCGTCATCAAGTTCGTCACCCGCACGTACCACCCGAACATCACCAACGACAGCCTCGGCAACGTCTGCCTCGCCATCCTGAAGCCCGAGAACTGGAAGCCCAGCACCAAGATCGCCGCCGTCCTCGAGGCCGTGAGGAACCTCATGATCGAGCCCCAGCCCGACGATCCTCTCGAGGAGCGGGTCGCAGACGAGTACAGGAACGAACGAGCCGAATGGGAGAAGAAGGTCAAGTACCACGTCGAGAAATACGCCATGGAGCCGCCTGTGTTCCCAGCTGGCCCCTAAGCAACACTCGTGTGTTTCAACCTACTTCATAAAAGGAGGGAGGAGAGGCGTCCTACCCAGGCGGTAGGCCAGACTTGGACCTACGAGAGGTCTTTGAGGGGGGGAGGTAACATCGAAGAGATGAGAACAAAGAAGCTGGAAAGAACACAGCCTCAAGATGTTGAACATCCTTAATTCTGTCTAATTCCTGTCCATCTACCACAGCTCTCCAAGGCCAGGAATGCTTCCTCATGTCGTCTCTTGAGGGAGAGAGCTCTTAGTTACACAGTTATTATTCGTTAACATAGCATGTCCGTACTCAGGGCACTTTCATTAAGATTTCAAATGAGTCCATGATCCCAAAAGCATTCATTGCAACACATAAACACTCCTGTGAGGTATCTGGATTCTGAATGCTGTTTTGCATGTCCCTCGTCTACTTGCTCTCTATATTTAGGTTTGTGTATAAGCTCGCTTTTTTCCCGTGATACGCCTCGCCGACTGTACATCTCTACCTCCAACTTCCCCAATCACCACACATGGCCGTGTCCATCCTTCTTCGTGGGTATATACAGCCATAATCATCATCAGAGCAAAGAGAAAAAACCATTCGGAAACCGCGTTTTGCGGCCCGTCTGTCTGTCCTGAAACATGGGATATCAATCGAAGGTATGGGTGGCACTGACAAAAGAAAATGGAAGGAATGGAAAAAAGACAATTATCGCCATGCCATAGAAAGAAAAGAAAAGAAAAAGGGCCCATAGGCTGGCCCATGGGCAAATATATATGCAAAGAAAATGTGTGAGGAGAAAGACCGCTCGCCTTCCCATGCAACGCCAAACCATGATATAATCACATTCAGCACCAGAAACGAGACAGCGACATGCTGTGCTTGCATCGCAGCGCTTGCCAGCGGGCGTTCTACACCCTGCCAGGCCTTGTACCTGAAACATCTCTCCTTCTCCTGCCGAAGAGCGTACCCTTGCGCCGAACTTCAGACTCCGCATCCGTCACATTTCCACCCGGTGGAAGTGTTTGACTGCGGCCACCCTGCTTATCCTTATCCAGCTGTGCCTGGTCACGCCGCTCCTGGCGACGCTCATCAATGGCTAACTGGCTGAGGTGGCTGAACCCATTGCGACGTTTGAAACAAGCGTCGATGAGGCCATTTGCGTCGAGCATGCGCCGAGGCATAGCCTGCACAACCCCAAACATCTCCATTGGATCCGCAACGGCCATAATTTCCGATTCTCCGGTTTTGAAGATGGCCAGGGCAGTTCGAAACAACGTCTTAGATCCTTCGTAAAAGAAGATGTCCCAAACCCGCAATGTGGTCTCAATGGGGAGGGTTCCGATGAAGCAGCTCATAAACCACGCAGTCATGCAGAGGGTAATAGGCGGCAACCGTTCTGTCGAAAGGGTATCCGTCTGCTTCCTCCTGAACCTTGTCCTGGGTTTACGGAAGGAGCGGCCAGTCGACGGTCGAGTTTGCGGTTCAGCTTCCAGATCACCTCCTATCTTATCCCATACAGCGGGCATTGTATCACGGATCTCTGTCATTAACACGCCGAGGTCTACCTTGGAACCCTCCAGGCTGATCTCATGGGTGCCAGGAAGATAAATGTGAGTGATGACGTTGAGCAGCCAGAAGCACTGTTCCTCTGTGTCAACAAAGAGCAGGAGAAGGCCAGCGATGAAGTTCAAGCTTTGACAATAGCCGATATGAGGATTGTAGATGGAAAAGGCGAAGAGGACACGACGTAGAGAGGCTATGATGGGCTGTTCCTTGTTTTTCGATGGTTTTCCAGTGCTGTCACCATCCGGGGACTGGGGAGGCTTGAAATTGATATTGTCGGGGAAGGTGCGATGGAGATCTCGTTCAATCGCCTCGACATCCACACGTTTAGCCTTCATGTCAAGAATCTCCCCGTATAAGCCCGAGTGCTTAGCAAGAATAGCCGGGCCACCTGCGTAGTAGAACCACGCAGCTCCTCTCCACTCGGGGGGGATGCCTTTTCGAACGAACTTCTTAGTTTTAGCGTTCGTTGGAGGAAAGCGGTTGGGATTTTCTGTCATGAGGGAATGCTCCTTGAGATATGATTGCCATTTCTTCTTCCTTCGCGCAAGATACTCCGTATAGCCAGAATTCCAATTGTCGTACTGCTTCATCGTGACGTATTGGTTCTCTTTCTTGAAGCCGTATCGATCACGAGAGTTGGGGTCCTCTGGTTCGGCGGGTCCGGGAACATCAGGTGGCAGACAGCTCTCGGGGTAGCTGGGATCTCGAGGGGGCGGGTCAGGACTGCTAGGCCTGCTATCGTAGACGCTTGTCGGTGCTGGAGAGGGTGATGTGTCCCTGGAGGCAAAGTTGTTTGAGATGCCCAAGCCCCTATCAGTTGGGTCATCGCTCGTGACTGTAGGTTGCGAGGAATCTGAAGGGTCAGTGTCCAGAGACTTGGCGGAATCACGGTTCGTCTCGTCAAAGCGATTAGAGGATTTCAGGTTCGAGGCCAAATGAGGAACCGAGGCCATGAAAGCCGGGCTGCTGAAGAACATCTTCGATTGTCGAATCTCAGCGTCAAGCCTCGTCTTGGCCAACATGGGTGAATCAGGAGGGTCATCCAAAACTCTGCTATCGCCAAGGTCGGGTTCGGGTTGAGGGAATGAGGAAGACGGCCGGGGAGGAAATTCTTCTTCTTGATCGTCACCTGGTTCACTGTGTTCGTAAATATCGTCCTCAAACCCTTGTTCGTACATGCCCATAACATCTTCCAGGCTCGGTTCGTCAGGATCAACGAAAGCATCCGCGTTGTCACCGAAGGAGGTAGCAGAGCTGTTTTTAGTAAGGACACTACTTCGTTCGGTGTTGGCCGTGCCAGGGGCAGATGAAGCTGTCAGCTGGGATCTGAAACTCGACCGTAGTTCCTCCCCGCCAGACCATGGCACAGACCCACCCAGGATGGGCGCAGACCCAGAGCTGTCAGTGCGGCCGAAACCATACTGTGGCCGGGTTGCGGAAACTGGCGGAGGCCCAGCATTCTTTAAGAAACGGGTCCCTGGAATGCGCGAGTCAGGAAACTCAGCCGTCGTAGGAGACATTCCAGGTGCCCAAGTGGACGCAGACACGTTTGAACACATCGAAGGGCCCCTGGGACGCCACGGGGGAGCATAGTCCATCATCTCCGGGCCGTCTTCGGAGGGTGTGGGAAGAAGAGCAGGTCGAGATCTGGTCGGGGTGTCGGAAATGGGTTGCCGTATACTGTGTTTTCGGGGGCGGGAGAAATTTTCGAACGGCGCGGATGTTATGTCAGAACCACGCATGTCAGAGAAGGAGGATTTTGCTGTCAAAGGGCGCGAAGGAGGCTCGCTTTGGGGTTCGCGGATTAGATTATGTGCATCAAATGCGGCCGGGGTTGTTGGCCGCGACCGCGGGCCATTACTATTACTATTCGAGGCGGGTCGTGGACCGTTGCCAGGATATGGGATGAACCCGCCATTCATGGAGTCCCATTTTGATGCGGGTGGGCGGCGGGAATTCTGGGAGGCAGACCGAGGCTCGCCCGAAATCGCAAACGAGTCCGAAAAGGCTGGCGAAGCTATCGGAGAAGGTATCGCAAAAGCACTTGCCGTAGTGTTGACGGGCGAAGGGTATCGATGCGGGCGGCTTCGACTGCCGTCTTGCGAATTCATATGTAACGGTGGGCCCTGGAATAACTCATCGTCGAAATCATAGCCGCCGCGGTTATAATTTTGCATCGCCGTTGGAGTCATTGCGGTCCACCTAGTCCCTGGAACCCAGCGTCGAACGGCTGGGCCCGGCGGAGTCTATACTGAGACCAAGCAAAGGATTCTATAGTGTCGTAGCAAGCTCAATCCGAGATGTCAAAGTGACAAAGTTCCTAGTTGTAGTCGGTGAGGTCGAGGAGAAAGAGTGGAAGCCCAGTGCCATTGCTCGAATGAATCGGACGTTGGGAGAGAAGTAGCGATCGATAGGAGGTCAAGGCCACGAGGAGCTGAATGTCAGAACCACTGCCGGGGCAGTTCGAAAGTTTGGAGTTCTCAAAAGGACGGTGGGTTCGGCCTGGTTGTTCGATGTCGTCGGCGGTAGAGCAGGGGTGAGGAAGACCAGACGGTGAACGGCAAAAGGAGTGACTCGCTAACGGGGCAAAAGGATACAAATGCGGTTTTCAAAGGATATCGATGGTGGTGTAGAAGGAGTGAGAGTCGACGTAAGAAAGCACGTATTCGTCAGGCGATGAGAGAGGGCCCAGTTCATGCATGTGCGGGTGTCGGCCTGCATATATGTTCCGCCAAATCAAACCCAATCAAATCAAGCGGTTCTCCAATCAGTCGTCGATGGTGACTTGCATCGCTGCCTCGAGGGATGGAAAAAGAGTCGCAGACGCAGAAAGCGACAGTGAGGGACACCGAAACGAAATATCGACGGCGGACAGCTATGCGCAGCTACCTGCAGCGTAGGATCGGAACGAACAGAAAGAAAAAAAGAAACGAGTGCTGAGGTGCAGTGCTGTGCGGCGCAGTGCAGCACAGCGCAGAGCAGGGGATGTAGGTATGATGATGGAGGGAGGCAAGAAAAATCACACGAGACTCAACTCATACGCGCCGAGGACGAACGACCTGCGATGAGCGGGCGAATGATGGCCTGTGGGAGAGCAAACGCCGTGTGTGGCGGACGGCAGGCGCAGGAAAAGCCGACAGACAGCAGGAGCCCGACGGACCAGCCAGAGCCAACTAATTCCACCCACACTAATCAAACAGGTGGGAAGGCGCCTGAAGGGGGAAGGGGGGACACGCTCGGAAGAGGGCCCGCCTTCCTTTTTCCCTTAGCTCTCTGTTCGTTCCTTGGCTATTTGCCGGCGTTGCGCTTTCCTGGGTCCTAACGTGCTGAATTAAGGTCCTTGAACCCTCTTTTTTTTCTCGTCCTCAGCTCGCTCCTTCCCTTCCTGCTCGATTGCTTTTTGTCTCTATGGACTACGTTCTACCTGTTCCTAAGTCGGGTA